TATAATACAAAGTTGTAATAGAAAAATATAGAAAATAGAAGAGCATTAGTAAATTATATAAAATTATTAACTGATAAAACAGATTATGAATGTATTCATATAAATCTACATAATAACATACATATGATTATTTATAATAATTTGTTTTTTCTTTTTTTTAACTTTTATCTTTTAGAGACGTTTTTGCTATAGGTCGCATGCGCTTGCCAGAAAGACAGGGAGACAGAGAGACAGAAAGAGAAATCACCAAGGGGGGTTAGCCATACCACAATCCCTTCTCCTCTATTCTCCTCTTGGGATCTTGGGCACACACACACACATACACATGCCCGGCGTAAGTTTAAGCCACCAGGTATGGGACTCGAACCACAGTCGACTACAAGGGAATACAGTGACTAGCTATTATGCAACTGCTGATCTCTATTTATAATTTTAATGATATAATAAATTATGTAAGAAGCCAAAAAAAGGAAACATAGAGAAAATAATGTATGTTTGTCACGGACAGGTCATGATTTCTCACTTTCTGTCTCTCTGTCTTTCTGGTGAGTGCATGCGCCCTATAGCAAAAAACTCTCAAAACAAAACAAAACAAGAAAAAAAACAAAGTACCTGTTAGATACAATACCATTTCTGAAGAAATTAGTTCTATGTGGATCTTTTCTAAATATGATAACCTTCTGTGTCTTAGGTATACCTAGTAGGTGAAAAAAGATGTGCAGTCTTAGTCATGACTAATTGGGACAATGACTCAGTCAACAGAACCACAGACAAGTTGGATACAATGTAAGCCAACCTCCTCCATGTGCTTTGGGACAACCTACATGGAACAGTGTCAGACTAACACAGTAATATCATCTCTTGGAGGAAGAATAGAAGCTAAGTAAGAGAAAGTGGCTTACTAAAGCTAAGATGGGACCTGGAAAACTCCAGGATTTTACTTATTTTCCCTTAGGATTGCTGGATATTTCAATTCTGAAAGACAAGGTCCCAGGGTGGCTATATAAGCAAAGAGATGACTTTTCTTGTTACTCATTAGTCCTGGATTTCCTTGCCAATTAAATCCATGCATATAGCTGTTTCTCCCTTAATGAGTGCCTTTATAAGTCTGGCAAACAGGAAGCTGCCACTTAGATGAGACTTGACATTTATATAATTTGAGAAGAAAGGGGAACTTTTTTGGGAAGAAAAAGATACAAAATTAAATTAACATTTTGGTACGAATGAGAAAAACCACAATAAATTACAAATGTAAAACACAAACATCACAAAATCCAGAGTAATAATAAAATGTTTATATTCATTAACTTCCTGATATACCTCTATTATTTTTTTCTATTTATTTCAGCTGCATATACTCTATTCATCTCTCTCTTTATTTTTTTTCCTTAGAGAAATTTTTGCTATAGAGCACATGTACTTACTGGAGAGACAGAAACAGAAACCGAGAAATTGCCTCCCCACCCCCCAGGTGGGTGGCGGCTGGCCACAGTGCAATCCCTTCTTTTCCATTCTCTTCTCTGGATCTTGGACATGCACACACACGTGCTTGGCGTGAGTTTCAAGACTGTGGACCCAGGACTCAAACCATGGTCGGTCATGTGGGTGTCCAGTGGTGTAAGCATTACTTCATTTGCTGGGCTCTGCTTTGTTCATCTCTTCAGACAACAATGATTTCATAATATTGTTTTTACACAAGGAAAAGAAAGGTAATACAGTCTTTTCTTGATTCTCCCTTCTCATAGAGTCTGTAACCAACCTGACCAAGTCCTGTTCCCTGTAAGCCCTGCTCTATTCACACAGTTTGACCTCCTCCCAACCCTGGCACATTTGCACTCAATTTCTGTATGTCACCACCTCATCCCCCTCTTCCAGCCAAACACAAGTACATATACCTAGTTCTTGTAGTTTATGTCCTAATAAATCCTGATAAAGTGTATTAGGAGAGTTTTAGAGGAGTGAAAGTCTTCAAAATGTGAAATATTCATTGATGAATGTGCACAACATACTATAATGTTCAATGCCAAATAAGATGAATATATCTATATTCCTGATTTTATTATTAGATACCATATTTATGCTTTGAGAAACAATATTGTACCTCACAAAGATGTACAATTTTATGCAAATCAGAAATCACAATAAAAAAAGAAATATTCACTGATGAAATGACAAATTGTGAAATTGGTATCACTAAAATTGTGCAATCCGTTAACCCTGGTGCCCACACCCACCTCTATCAAAGTCTTGGCTATTTGTTTAGAAATATCCAGCCTTCAAATGGCATAGAAATCTATAGTAAAATCTATGTGAAAAACTGAACATCTTGCAAAAGATGTGGAATTTCGTAAACTTGATGAAAGAGATGTTGTTGAACTGCTGGATCCACATGAAAAGTCATTGATAAAGGAGGATCTCACAGAGTTGACCTAGCTAACAAACGAAAAAGAGAAAATTGAGGACGATACTGACATCAATGCTTCAAAAGGAAATCATTTGATTAAAAGATTTGATTAGGGATTAAGAGAGAGCCTTGGGGAAATTGAATAAAGCCCTTTAAAACTTTTGCAAATATGACCCTGCTGCAAAAATAAAATGCAAAATAAAGGCTAATGAGCCATATAAAAAATCAAATCCCCCTGAATTAATACTTAATTTAGCATTATTAGCAGTTACAATTGTAACTTAAAATATGTCAATTGTAAGATTAAATCCACTTCCATGATTTTTCAGTTAATTTATTTTTTCAAGAGAGAGTCCCAATCAAGTCTTTTTCTTCCATTATGAATCCAGGTCTTCATTTAATTGGACTCGCTCTAAGAGGACCTTTTCTGGTACCCATGATTTGGGGAAAGGATGACCTCTTGTGCTCATTTTCATGTTTCCCAAGCATGCAGTATTTTAAGACTCCCCCAAAGAAATTGGAAAAAAAAAAATACAGACCCTTGTGTTCCCCTTGTGCTCTCCAAGCATGGAACAGAAATTAAGAGTTAAAATACTTCACATTTTCAACAGTCATCCTAAGCAATCTTTATGGTAATCAGGTAAGTGTGGGAATGATCACCTTAACTCATCCAAGTATTTTGCATGGATGAAGTTTCTCGCTCCCTCTTTGTCTTTCTCTCAGTCTCTATCTGTTCCTCTCTCTCATAACCTTAAGAAATCTTTTTTAACCTAGTCATTGTATTCTTTTATTTTAAAATTCTTTGTATATGTCCTTCTTTCTAGATCAGTGCTTAGTTTATAAACAAAAGGTTTTTGAAACTTCTTTTGGATCACTTCAGAACTTTACAACCTGGTCCTGTTTTTCATATTGTTTCCTTTTCTTAGTATTTCAAAACACCTTTCACCAAAACTGAATTTTATTTATTTTTGTTCTTTTAAAATTTGAGTGTGAGAAATTTGTCTCAATTTTTTTTTCTGCATTCTCTAAGCTGCATTCTCGTGAGTCTATTTTGCTGTATATTCATTTGGATATTAAACTACTTTGCAGATAATATCATGTTCTGCCTGTTCTTTCAGAACAGTCTGATTGTCAGCTCGTGGAAGACAAAACCACGTTTTCCATTTCTTCTATATTTCTCCCAGTGATGAGCCTAGAAGATTGACTAAGACTGACTAGTGTGCGGTATGCTTTATGCGGCTTGTGCTTAACAAATATTTTAAAACAGTATTACAAAGCTGAGTAAATCTGACAGCAGTGCTATTCCTTCTTACTTCAAGTGCCAACACTTCCTAGGTCCCTTCTTCCCTAGCAATCATCTTTCCACATACCAACGTGTCCCTAAATGGTCCAGCCAAACTAAAGCTCTTTATTTATTTAATTTTTTCTTTTTTTGAGAGGTTTTCGCTATAGGGCACTGGCGCTCTCCAGAAAGACAGAGCGAGAGACAGGAAGACATAAAGCGAGAAATCACCCCCCAGGGTGGATGGCCAAGCTGCAATCCCTTCTACTCCATTCTCCTCTCCGGATCTTGGGCACACATGCATATGCACCCTGCATGAGTTTAAACCACCGGGTCTGGGACTCGACCTGCGGGCAGCTACATGGGAGTCCAGCGACATAGCCATTACACTAACTGTTGGTCCCAGCTAAAGCTCTCTTGACCCAGCTTTCCTTGCCCCATTTATGGAGCTACTGTTGACATTTTCTTTCCCCCTGAGGAAAGACTTATTGCTACCCAAACCCTGCTGTTTACTTGAAGTTGATTTTCCTCTTGGTGGTAGTGTGGACACGAGGACTGTAGGGACAGAGAAGGTTTCATTTCAGGTTCCCTTCATTTTCTTCCCAGGTCGTCTTTTACGGTAAGATACAATACTTGTGTGTATTTCCCTATCTGTTAGGATGTGTTTTAGCACCTGAAGAATGCTCAAGATTTTAGGTAAGAGGTTTCAGAATTTTAACTAAAATATTCTTTCTTCCCAGGCCTTTATTTCTGACCTACAGCCGTCAGCCAGGCGACACAGTTCTTACGGCATCATTCTATTACACATTATTTTGTGCCTATGAAAAAGAAGCTTATACTTATGTTGTACGGACCTGATGCAGTAATATTCTCTTTTTCTTGGATGGAAATGATGTCTTGCAGAGCACTCCTGCACCTATTCATTCGCTTACCTAACTCTCAACAATAGCTTGGTAGGTGGGCAGAATAGAGGTCAAGTCTAGCATAAAGAAAAGGGATCTCAGAGATGTTAAGTGATTTGTTCAAAGTCACATAGCTTGGACAGACCCACACTGAAAACCAGGACTTCTGACTCAACAGCCAGTCCCACAGAGTTCAGCTTCACAGACGCTCGGGTCACCTATGCAGACACCGGTGCTGAGAGGCAGCAGCAGGGACAGGTGGGAGGAAGAAGGTGTAGGCGCGGAAAACACGTTGCGCATGCGCGGGTTCCCTGGCCGGAGCCAGCGTGTGAAGGAAACTGATCTCCTTCACCGACCTCTCAATAACGCGCAGGCGCACTTCCAGAGGCTGAAGGTCAGCCTGAAGTGGGGGGGCGGACCCCAGAGCTGCGCAGGCGCAGTTGTACGCCGGGTAGCCAAGATGTCGTTCCCGGAGTATAAGCAGTCCCGCCTGGCCACTCTGCCCACTACCCTTGACCCGTCCGAATACGACATATCTTCGGAAACCCGGCAGGCGCAAGCCGAGCGGTTGGCCATACGATCCCGGCTTAAACGGGAGTATCTGCTTCAGTACAACGACCCCAACCGCCGAGGGCTCATCGTGAGTGGGGGGGCTGGTGGGGTGGGAAGGCCGGGAGGTTCCCTCAGGATGGACATCCCAGAATGGCCAATGGGGACCGGACAGGACGGCGACCACCTTTCCTGATCTGCATCTTGGACATGGGCCCTCTTCCAGGTCCAGGAAGTAACCCGCCCGCATCATTAGCCCTTTGACCTTGCCAGGAGAGCGTGGTGGTCAAGAGGACGGTCTCTGGGCTCAGACCTAACGAGGTTTGAAGCCTGGCTTGGTCATTTCTGCCTGGGTGATCTTGAGAAAGTTTCTCAACTCCCCTTAGCTTCAGTTTTCCTATCTGAAAAATGGGCACAATACAGTACTTCCTCTGTTATGAGGCAGTTGTGAGGATTGAGTGATAGAAGGCCTGCGACTGGCCTAGAGTGGTGTCTGGCTTGTAATACCGGTTCAGGAAAAGTGTGTGTATTTTTATATTTACATATATGTATTTATACACAATACGTGTGTATATGTATTTGAAAATTTATGTTCTACATTTCACATTGCATGAGGATACTGCTCTTTCCTCGTGGAAGTATAGTAAATTTACTGTATCTTCTAAAGACCCTGCAACTTGTGGAAGCTTTGACCTTTGGAATCAGACCTCGAAGCACTACAAGCTTTATGACCTTGGGTAACTTAACCCCTCTGAATTTTATTTTTCTGATGTTCACATGGAAGTGAGTGCATTCTTCATAGACTTATGGGGTTAAATGAGATAGTCTGGGTAACGTTCCCAGCACATAATATGTGCCCCATACATTAATAGTTATTATTAATTATTATTAAACACTGTTAGTGTTTTTAGATTTCTGCACAAGAGTTATCTAAATGTGTCAAATACGATGTTTCAAAAGCTTTTCTGAACAGTTGCATTGGTATTCTCTAGGAATTTTTGGAAGGTGTGAGAATTGAAGGAAAGTTACAGTGTGCCAGATACTATGCTAAATTCTTTCTGAATGTTATTCACATATCACAACTCTTCAGTGAATTATGCTCTATTATTATTCCCATTTTACAGATGAGAAGACAAAACATAGAAAGGACAAGTAGCTCATGTAAAAATACACAGTTAGCAAGTAAATTTGAGCGCTGGTCTATGTAACCCAGTGTCTTCTGGGCAGTACATTTACTTAGAAAAAAAGTGCAGAGATACATGAATTATGTACACTACACACTCATATGTGACTGAGTTTGATGTGCTAGGTAGTGTGACATTGATAAAAAAAAAAGTAAAAAATAAGGCCTCAGTCAGACAGACCTGAGGTTTAAACCAGACCTTTTATCTTCCAGTTTTGATACACAAGACAGTTTCAGTTTTCTCATATGTAAAGTAGAAGTAATAATACATGCCTCTTTGGTTGTTCTGCTAATAAAATGAGTATGTGATATGATCATTTTTTAATAAAAAAAAAAATTCCCTAGAAACCATGCAACTTTGCAACACTTTTTAATTGATTTCTTTTTAAGGTTTTCCTGCAGGGCATGTGTGCTCACTGGAGAGAGACAGGGAGAAACAGAGAGAAGGAAAGTGAGAAATCAACCCCCAAGAAGGATGGTTACACTGCAATTCCTTCTCCTGGGATTTTTGGCATACATGCACATGCACCTGGCATGATTTTCAAGCCACCAGGTCCAGGATTCCAACTGTGGTCAGCAATGTAGGAGGCCAGTGCCTTAACCACTATGCTACCGCTAGCCCCCGATACAATCATTTATTAAACAGTACATGTAAGTTCCCATGCCTAATTTTTTTCTTTTTTAAAAATTACTTATTTGGGGCCAGCAGATGGCATAGCGGTTACATCTCGGTACTCTCACATAACTGATTGTGGTGGCTTGAGTCCCAGACCTGGTGGCTTAAAACTCATGCTGGGCACATATGCGTGCATGCCCAAGGGATTATGGTGTAGCCATCCCCCATGGGAGGTGATTTCTCAATTTCCCTCTCACTGTTTTCCCTCTTTCTCTGGCAAGAGCACACGCCCTAAAGTGAAGGAAAAATAATTACTTATTTACTTTTACTATTGTTATTATTTATTTTTAATTTGCTATAGGGCACGTGACTCAACAGAGAGAGAGAATGAGAAAGCAAGATGCCAGGCCCAGGACTCAAACCACAATCTGTCATGTGGAAGTTCAGTGTCTTAACCACCGTACCACCTACTGGCCTCCTTCATGCCTGATTTTTAAGAATCATTGATTCAGTCAATTAGGTAATTGCTTAGGGTCTATCATGGGCCTATTTTAGATGCCAAGGTAACAATGTAGAATGAAACAGACAAAAATCTCTGTCCTTGGAGAGCTTTCTTTACAACAGGGTTGGGGAGTGGGGTGGGGGGGACAGATATTGTCATAAATAAATGTAAAACACTAAACCATTTAACATATTAGTGAGTGATAAGTGATTTGAAAAGGAAAGCAGTGATTGTGACTGTATGTATGTAGTAAGGAGAGTGGATAACTGTGATTTTAGATAGGCCCAGGGATGTCCTTGATTGGAAGATGACATTTGAATAAAGATAGAAAACAAAGGAGGTGAGAGAGCTAGCCTTGGAGCTCTGGGAAAGTAGCATTCTACACAGGGGACAGCACGTGCACAGGCTCTCAGGCAAGAGTGTGCTTGGTTAGCTCAGGGAAGTACTGAAGAGACCATTGTGGCTAACGTGGGGAAAGTGAGGGCAGAGTGGAAAGAGGGCAGACAGGTACCTGGGGCTAGATCATACCAGGCCTGTAGGTCATTGTAAGTCCGCTTATGGAGTAGGGAGTCATTTAGTCTGGATTTAATGTTTTAACAAAGCTCTCCCTCTGGCTGCTTAGTTGAGAATAGACTGGCAAGGAAGGGCAGAAGCAGGGGGACTATTAAATAGTTAGGAGGCTTTTGCAGTAATCTAATCTCTTGTTTGAGGGTGGTTACCAGGGTGGTAGTGGTGAAGGTGGTGAGAAGCGGTTCTGCGTATGTATTGAAAACAGTAGAGCCAACCAGGTTTGCCTGCAGGTTAGACATGGCATATGAAAGAAAGAAGAAGCAGGGATGACTACAAGGTTTTTGACCTGAATGACTGGAAAAGTGAAGTTGCCTTTTATTAAGAGAAGAATGTAAGAGGAACAGATAGGGAGGTGGGATGGAATATGGGGAAGTGGTTTGGAGTATGTGAGATTTGAGATGCCTGCTAGACAATATGTCAGCATTGAGCAGGTGGTTGAGTATTTAGCCTGGGGTTCAAGGTCGAGGTCTAAGTCTAGAGGTCTAATTTTGGGAATCATCAGCCTGTAGATAGATATTTACAGTCACGTGACTGGATGACATCGTCAAGGGAGTGGATGTAGATAGGAAGGGTCAGCCATACCCAAGGTCCAACATTAAGAGACTAGGAGATGAGGAGGAAAAGAGCAAATAGAGAGAGAGAGAGGACAGAGTTAGGGAGAAAACCAAGCTGGTATGGGGCCTGCACTGCAAGTGAAGAAATGATTTCAAGGCATATTTAACCTTCAAATGCTGCCACTAGTGCACTGGATGTTGAGTGATGTCAGAGAAGGAGAACTGTCTCCCATGGCATGTCTTTTGGAACCTCTTTTAATGACAGTATCAGGCTCAGTGAACTGTGGTTATGGGGCTGTCGGTATTTTTATAAAATGAAGTGTCTGTTTTGCAGGTTTTAAAGTGTGGAGAGGTGACTGAAAGTCTGTCATTGGATGGCCATTGAAATATTTTTGTAGTGGAAGGGATAAATATAGAAATAGATGTATTTATCCTTTCAGTATTGAGTTCAAACATGCCCTTGAACCTACATTTTGTGTCTGTCGTCTTTATTGTTTATGTTTGCAGTATAAGAATAATAATAAGGGCTGGCAGATGGTGTAGTGGTTAAGGGTGCTGGACTCCCACATGGCTAACCACAGTTCGAGTCTTGGACCTGGTGGCTTGCTTTCTCACTCTCTCTTGCTCTGTCCCTCTCTGGTCAAATTTAAAAAATATAAATAAATAATAAAGTTAAATAAAATAATTTAAACAAAAAAGAATAACAGTGCCACAGAACACTGTTGGGTTTGCTTTCACTTTAATGTGGTATGATAAGTAGTTTCTAGGGCAGCAGAGGGTATTTGGAGATTTTGAGTCTAGTAGCCAATGTCCATACCCATGAGGATTTCAGGCTGATCAAAAGGAAGGGAAACCTTTTCACCATAGGTTTCTTTACTTCTGAGCTCCAGCTGATTTATCCCAGGGTAAAATTGCAGTAATTAATTCTGACTTGAAATATGACTATGGGCGACCCATTTCAATTACTTAAGTTCTACTAATCATGACTTTTTGGTGTTGGTTAGGACCTGGCATGTTCATATCCTGTGTTAAAGTCTTGAATCTGATTTTATTTGCTCATTTCTACCTATCAGTTAATTGGCAAGAATAATTTTCTAAAATCATTTGGGACTTTAGCTGATTACATTTATATGTTTGGAGTAGATTTGCTATTCTTAAATAGTTATTCTCATATAAATAAAATGGATAATTTTTTCCTGAAGACAGTCTGATTATTGTTCTTTCACAACAGTTTTAACCTTCCTGCACAATACTTAATGGTATGTAAAGTACTGATTTTGCTTTCAAAATATCTACCAAATCAGCTTAAAAAATGTGTAGTTCAGAGTTAGCGTACTGAAGTCACCCATCACTTTCCTACAGCTTATTTGTAGCCTGGAAAGACCAAGGTGGAGATAACATTAGAAAGTGTCCTGGAAACAAAATACAGAGCGTGATAGAGCGTGCGAAATCTGTGTGTCTTCATCGGGTTCACATGGTCGCACTTGGAGAAAGAGAGTGAAGCTAAAAACAGTCTAGAGAAGAACAGGTGAAAATGGTAAAGGAGAAAAAAGTGGCTTCTCTGACAGGTTAAAGATTAGGGTTCTTACCTCTTAAATAAAAAAAGTGCACGGTCATACAGAAAGTCTTGTAAATTCTGAAGGATTTAATTAGAATCATGAGTTACTCAAAAAATACTAGAAATGAAAGCTATGCCCTGTATTTAGGAATATTCAAAGCCTACCCTGATCTGTTACAGAGAACAAAAAATGTCGTCTCCTATCATCCTTCACAAAAGTCCTGATGTGTTTGTTTCTCAATATGGCCCTTAAGTTCTGTAGCTTTCGATTTTTATTAATTTTAGGAAGATCCTGCCTTGATTCGTTGGACCTATGCAAGATCAGCAAATATCTATCCCAATTTCAGACCCACTCCTAAGAACTCACTCCTAGGAGCTCTGCTTGGACTTGGGCCGCTCTTCTTCTGGTATTATGTTTTCAAAAAGGACAGGGTGAGTATGAGGACCACCTGTTTAATGTCTCCGTGACAACATTCCTGGGTAGGTGGCAGCTAAAGCTCTTTTTCTTGCCGATTGCTACCAGTGCCTCTACCTTAGCCCTGCCATCGTCCTTCCCTTCCTTTCTTCTTTTATCTTGGAGAGGTTTTTTTTTTTTTTTTTCTCTCAATAGGGCACTTGTGCTCGCCAGACAGACAGAGAGAGATATAGAGACAGAAAGCAAGAAATCACCCCCCAGGGGGGATGGTCACGCCGCACTCCCTTCTCTATTCTCCTCTCGGGATCTTGGGCACGCACGCACACGCGCCCAGCGTGAGTTTTAAGCCACCGGGTCCGGGATGCGAACCACGGTCCAACTACGTGGGAGTCCAGCGACATAGCCATTACGCTAACTGCTGGTTCCCCTCTTCTTTTATCTTTATTCCTTTTCCAGCAATAAAAGTTTTAGTTATATCTTTGGTTTTATTGCTTCATTGTTTCAACTTATATGGAATAATATTTCTTGAAAATTTTGGTAATCTCTGAGCCTTTCAAATTTAATGTAATAGTTGAGTAAAACCCCAAAATGTTCAATTTAAATTTCTGAGTTTTGAACTCAGCTCATGCGTTTTAGGTGCTATAAGGGATGTATACTCTGATTATTAAGCACAGGAATACTGAAATAACTTTTTTAAAAGCTACTTACTTTTTTCCTATAAGAAATTTCTTATCGAAATTAAATTCACCACTTCTGATTAGCCTTTAGATAATATTTTTGCAAATTTTTTATTTCACTTTCTTCATTTTTTTTTTTTTTTTTTTAAAAAGAGATGATGGGTGGTTCCACCTCCAAGTGACATGGAGGTTAAGGTGCTGGATCCCACATGGCCAGCTTTGTGGTTTGAGTCCCAGGCCTGACAGTTTGATAATCACTCTGGTGGTGTGTGCATGCATGCTCAGAATCCAAAATCCCAGGAGGAGAGTGAAGGGATTATGGCTTGGCCATCCCATTATAGAGCTCACATGCTGTGCTGCAAAACCTTTTAAAAAAAAAAAAGAAAAGAAAGAAATGTTTATTGGGTCAGTTATTAGCAGAATACGTAAATCATTTAGTGTGTTTCCTGTTTATATGTATTCTAGTTATGTTGGTCACATTTTGTGAATTAAGGTTAAAATGCATTAATACCGTAACAGCAGAGAAATAGAAGTGGCCTATGCAGGGAGTCAGTGCCATCCGAGTCCTAGGCATACGACTGTTGGGAAAGTC